GCCTTTGGCAAAGCCCTTCCCCAATTCCACCCAGTGTGCACCTTAGAAGAATGTGGGTTCCAACCACCCGGTCTGTCCAGTTGGGAATACAAAGGGCTTTGTGCGGCTGTGTCACACAACCAGTTCCTGGCTTAGTTCAGCCGAGCATTGCTAGGTGTTGACTTTAAGTCCCTGGGGAGCTCCCCTTGCTTCATTATAACTAGGAGTTAGTGCACATGGCTGGCTTGCACTTGTAGCCAAGGCATTCTTTTCTATGAACAAGGCTTTTTCTGTTTTAGAATCTGTTCTCTACAAACACGGGAAATACACAGGGAGATCCTCATCTCCACAACCTCATGACTTGGTAGTGCTTAGCCAAACCCTGCATTTTAATACACTTTAGAAAAGTGAAACGGATAGTACACTTGGAGGATAGCAGTCATTGGCAGTTACAAGAATAAAATTTATCCAGTTCCCTCACTGGGTATTTTTTATATCAGTAACTGAAGAGATTTTAAAAAATGCTCTTGTTTCATTGACATATAGAAAAGGGTGAGTCTGACTTTTATTTTTAAACTCCTTTTTCATGCTGAGATTAGGTTTAGAGTCCTGCCAGAAGTCTGACTTGAGTTTTCTGAGCATTTTTGTAGATTCACTCTTAATAGTAGTGGTGTATTCAGCCCCATTCAAGACTGAACTGGGTGTTGAAACCGGGATTTACAAACTCAAAGTCTGACAGAATGGTTGGTGCTTTGCATTTTCTCCCCAGAGTTGATTTTCTGCATTCTTAATGAGGCCAATAGTTGTAGGAGTTTCTGTCAGACACCTGGACCCTCAGGTGCTCAGGCTTTCCTGTATATATGTACATACACACACATGTGCGCATGCACACACACATATACATATATGTATATGACATCCATACGTATATGTGTGTGTGCGTGTGTATATGTGAAAGGCATATACATATGAAAGGTGTATGTATATGATATTCTCCCCTTCTTGGGTCCGAAGCTCAGCCACGTAAGGGGACGTGATTGAGGACCTGTGTTGGTGACAGTGGAGGTGTGCAGGGCATGCAGCAGAGGAGAGCGGTCCTGTGCGCACTGCCCGTTCTCTTAGGTTCCCAAAGCCTTCAAAAGCTGGAGCACTGTTTCCTGATGGTTACTGCTTTGTTGCCACTCCCAGAAAAAACAGAAACAAACAAAAAGAAGCCTTCAGGCGCCATGCCATGATGAGACAGCCATGAGTGTATCTGTCACCGAGCTTACAATGGCAAACTTGATGAAAGCAGCCAGAGTCCCTGGTGTTCCTCTCCCCATTGCTTCTCCTTCCCTCGTTTCCCAAGAGATAGCGCTATCCCAGGTGTCTTTCCACTTTGCATCACATGTGAGCGTATCCCTAGGCAAGGTGACTGTTTGCCTTTGAAAGCTCCCGTCAAAGCCTGTGCAATGGGAACAACTTGCGCTTCCCAGGCTGAAGCCTTCACGTTTTTCCCATCAGTGCCACTCTTGTGCATTGCTTGTCAGAAAAGAATAGCAAGTAGCAAATTACAGTGAAATGTTTTAATGCAGCCTGTGCTGCGTGTGTCTGTTACAGACGTGCGGATCTGTAGGCTTGTTATATAGGTATACTTAATATTGGGAGCAGTACACTCATTTAACTAAGTTTTTGATAGCTTGAGGTTTCTTTCCTAGACTCCAGTCCTTCATTTGGTTTTTTAAGAGAAAGGCAGACCTGGTACCAAGTCAGCTTCAAGTTTTTTACCCTCCTTGTTGCAGACACTTTCGCTAGCTGCCTTGTCAGTCCTCCTCCGCTTCTTGCCTTTTTCCCCCACGCCCCCTGTGCAAAACCCTCAGCCGCCATCAGCCTCTGCAGGACTTACATATTTATCGTGATCTCTATTTCTTTTTTGTCTTCCCCATTGCAGAGGACAAACGGGACTCACGACCTCGGTGCGTGGTAACCAGAAAGCACGTTGTAATGATCTGTTAGGTGACCTTGTTAAATACTCAGTTTACCAATGACAGATCTGGGAATGGGCTCATATACCTTTTATTTTAGTTGCGCCTATTCTCATCCTTAATAAAATTGATCACCTTTCCCTCTACATCATACTAGGCATAATTCCAAAATCATGAAGAATAGAAACCATAGAGATGGTCATCATTTCACAAAGTAAAAATGTTGTTTTCAAACCCTTGCAAATCTGATTTTTGACAGTTTGCATAATAAGGAAGCTTTATTTGTAAAATGAATGCTTTTAAAAACCTTAGCCATTTGTAATCAAAGTAATCATATGAGGTACCTGTGAGTGCATACACTTGTAATCCCAGCGTTTGGGGAGGCTGAGGCAGGAGGATCACAAAATCAGGATAATATATCAGAAGTTTTTTAAAAAGGCTGGGATGTGACTCAGTGTGATGGCCCTGGTTTCAATACCCAGAACTGTAAAATAAATAAAAATAACTACATATAACGGAAGTCATTCCATTACCCTGTAAGGAACATGGGCTTTTAGTCAACGTGAGGGCCTGGAGTCTTTACCTACCAGATGTGAATAAAGGAGAAGACAACTCACTTTCTTTTGGCCTCAGTTTTCTTGTAGTTCTCTATTGCTGTAAAATAAGCCACCCCAGGACTTGGTGTCCTAAAACAGTAATTTGTTCTTTCTCTTCGTGAGCAAACACACGGTGTCAAGCTGACATGCTGGGGCTGCCAGAGGGGCCTCCATGCCCTCACACAAATGGCAGGCAGAGGTAGCCCGGCCGGCTGGGGTGTGGGGCCTCGGGTCTCACCAGGGTGTCTGACCCTGTGAAAGGAAGTTCTCAGAGCAAAGCCAGAAGCTAGCTCTCTCAGCCCGTCTTCGGAAGGTCCAGGGGCTCGATGGGACCACGTTGCGCTTGTTAGGTAGATTCAGTGGCAGGGAGAGCACACTGCTCTACTCTTGAAGCAGAGGAAGTGGCCAAGGCTCGGTGTCCACCTTGAAGCTGCCACACTTAGCGT